GTAAAGGCCTTCAAGTTTCTAGGTTCTTGTTATATGTGGAAATTATATATTTGTCAGGTACACCTGAGAAAATGAAGAACAGAAGAGATTCCATGTTGATCTGATATCTGACCTGTACAACGATTACTGAACAATTGTATAACCGTATCTAGCAAACATATTATGTTTTGTAACTTGTTATGTTTAAAAAATTAAAATGTCGTGTTCTTGGCTGGAGTGGGGGCGGGGGGGTTGTAATTTTGGCTTGAAAATTAATGTAAGAGATATTAGGTCCCTCTGACCCAACGGAAGCCTGTTAATGATCCATTGTGCTTAGGTGGACATAACAAGAAGACACGGTGATGAGAAGAAGGTTGTTTCCCAGAGATGTTGGTCTGGGCAGAGTAAGGATGGAAAGTTACTCAGAAAAAGCCCTAAAACTCCCGAGCGAGCATAACAGGAAGAATTATGAGTATGATATCCTATAAAAGCAGCAACCATTTTAAGGGTGGTCCTATTTGTTAGGGAGATGGCGTCCTATTCACACGTTTGCAAATATTCTGAATAAACGAAGCTTTTTATGGTTTCTTTGGTTCTCAAGTCTGTTTTTTATGGTGAATCTCACAGTTCTAGTTTCTCCCGGGACTTGAAATGGACAACTAACCTTAGAACCATCGTTGAAAAGGCATGGCAAAGAATGTTCTTCCTGCGTCAACTCATAAAGCTCAAAGTGCCCAAGGAGCTGCTGATCCAGTTCTACAGAGGAATGATGGAGTCTGTCATCTGCACCTCTATAATGGTCTGGTTTGGCTCTGCAACCCAACAGGACAGACACAGACTCCAGGGAGTAATTAAGATTGCAGAAAAAACACTTGCTACCAACCTGCCTTCAATGGAGGACCTGAATACTGCATGAGTCAAAAAGAGGGCTGTGAAAATAGCTACAAACCCCTCACATCCCAGACATAAAGTGTTTCAACTCCTTCCCTCAAAACGACTCCATAAGGCATTGCGGGCCAAAACAACCAGACATAAATATATTTTTTTCTTCTCTGCCACCACTCTGATGAACACTTAATTCCCACAGCGCCGTCTCATTTCTCATCTGTTCTCGTCTTCTCATCTTTCCTACTGTCTTCTCCTGTTGGTTTCTTATGATTTGTCAAATGTACATGAATCATTAATCAAAAGCTACAATCATTCGTAACTTACGATTAACGACTGTAACGATGATTTATGATCTATGACTGGTTCACCTGGTGTTTATAGGTACACTGTGAATTTATGCAGCGGAGACAAATTCCTTGTATGTCCAAACACACTTGACCAATGTAGAAA